TTTTACCGTGTAATTCAGGCTGATCCCGAATTCACTATGTAACCCAGGCTGGCCTCAAATTTGCGGTGACCTTCCTGCCTCAGTTTGTTGAGTGCTGGAGTCACAGGCATGAGCCACCATGCCCAGCATGGCCTCAAATTCGTAATCCTCTTGTCCTCATCCACCAGGTAGCTGAGGTTATCATCTGTGCCACCATGCCCTGTTCTGCTTCTAATCTTAAAATGTCCCCCCCCCCGCCCCCCTTGGGCACACTGCAGTTATACCAGGAAATGACAGAAGGTAGCCTAAGAGCATTTGTGCATGTTCATTCACTTATGAATGCACCTTTACTTGGAGGATAAAAGTGAGATGGTCCCTGTTCTCATGAAGCTTTCTGTCAGAAAGAGGGGATGAGGCAAACTGTTGTGATCATAGATATTGGTGCTATCACTGTGGGGACAGAGAGTGCAGTTCATCTGACTGTCAGAGCACCTACAAAGGCTTTACAGCAGTTGGCCCTTTTTTTTTTTTTTTTTTTTTTTTTTTTTTTTTTTTTTTTTTTAGGAAAGAGCCTACAAGGTGTTCAGGGTCTCACTACTAGATCGGACTCGTAGTGATCTGCCTGTTTACGGCCTCCCACGCCCAGTCTCAATTGCTGTCTCAGTGCATCCCAAGGGCAGGGCCAGCACAACAGGCCCTGGGATTGAACCCTCGGCCCCTGTTTGCGGGTGCTTTAACCCGCTGAGCTATTTGGCTGGCCCTTCACAGTTGACCCTTGATCCCAGCCTCAGCAGAGCAATAGGTGTTTGCTGCCTGAGTGGGGAGGGCAGGTGATGAGGAAAGGCATTCCAGGCAGAGGGATTAGCAGCAGCGCCACACAGGCATGAAGCAGCCTGGTGAATTAGGGAACTGGAATTCGTTTTGCACAGCTGGAGCATAAAATGTGCGGGAAAGTGGGACATGAAAGCCAGGCATGGTGGCCCACACCTGTAACCCTAGCACTTGGGCAGCTGAGATGGGAGGATCATCAGCTAGAGTCCAGCCTGGGCTACATAAGCGAGTTCAAGGCCCACCTGCCCTACATTGCCAGACCCTATCTCAGCAAAACAACAAAAGAACAGCCTAGAGTACATAGTATCTTAGAGAAAACTAGGTATGGTAGCCCATCCCTATAGTGCCATCACTGGGAGGCAAAGGCAAAAAGATTTCAGGTGGTACCTGGCTTAGCTTAGGCACGGTCTCGATTTTTTTTTTTTTTTTCTAATTTTTTTTTTTTTTTTGCAGAACCGGGGATTGAACTCAGTTAAATCCTACTTTTGAACAATCTCTAATCTTTTTGAGTCAGGGTCTTGCTGTGCAGCTCAGGCTGGCTTTGAGTTCACTTTGTAGCCCAGGCTGGTCTCAAACTTGCACAATCCTCCTGCCTCAGCCTCCCAAGTGATAGGATTACCAGCATGTGCCACTATGCCTGGTTTTGTCTCAAAATTTAAAAAATTCTTTCTTTCTTTCTTTCTTTCTTTCTTTCTTTCTTTCTTTCTTTCTTTCTTTCTAGAACCGGGGATTGAACTCAGATCCTTGCGTTTGCCAGTTAAGCGCTTATCCTACTGAGCCATCTCCCCAGCCCTAAAAATTTTTTTTCTTAAAGGCGTACATCAGAGTCTCTGTAGTTCAGAATCAAGGTCTTGGGTTCAACCCCCAATACTGGGGGAGAGGGGAGAAAGAGAGAGAGAGAACACGAGAGAGAGAGAACACAAGGGAGAGAGAACTATAGCTGTAGACAGGCCTAGATCACAGAGTCCTTGAGGAGATTGGACCTTAGTGTAGGCAGAAGGAAACTTGGTATCATTTGTATTCCAGATCTTCAGGCTGTGAAAAATAGCTTAGGTAGGCCCTGGGTACAAGAGGCAATTGTTTAAGAGATTTGAAAGGATTAGAGATTTGTTGAGAGTCCAGTCTAGTTGAGGTTCAGGGTCCTAGAACAACGCAGTCATACAGGGCTGGAAAAGAAGGGTGCAAAGTAGAAGCCCTAGGACCTAGTGAGCTGTATGGAATTTGAGTATTGTAAGATTGAGTGAATGCAAGGAATTTGTGTTTTTGAGTTACTAGATGAATCCTGGGTCTTTGCACTAAGCTGCATCCCCATCCCCAGCCTTTTCTTCTTTTGGATGTTACAGTGATCTGACTGGGACATCTGTCACCCCCAGATCACCAGTTGACTTGGCTAATAGGCTGGATAGCCAGGTGTCCCCTTCCTCTCAGCTCTGTATGTGTCCCTCTGGAAGCGGTGCACTTGGCAGAAGAGGATAACCACCACCATCGGGAGAAGCACTGCCTTGGTCGAGGAAAACAAGTAGCGGCACTGTCCTGCCAGAACCTGCAGTCAGGCTCTTTTGCTTTTTTATTTAGAGATAAGGTCTCACCAAGTCACTAAATTGCCTGGGCTAGCTTTGAACTCACCATTCTCCAGCCTCAGCCTCCCAGGATGCTGGAATTACAGGTGTGCACCATCATGTCTGGGTACAAGAGTGATTTCGATGTATCGAGGATGTTGGTTAGAAAGGCAACCCTGAAGGATAATAAATATATAGATAAGAAATTTGCAGCAGGTATTCCTCAGAATCCATTTATATGCCATTTAAACACCACTCAAAATGGGTGCAACATTAATGGAGAAGCTGTGCTGAGGATGTAGCTCAGTGACAGAGCACTTGCCCAGCATGTGGGAGTCCCTGGGTTCAATTTCCAGCACTGGGCTGGTGAGATGGCTCAGTGGTCTAGAGCACCTACTTAGAACAAGCTAAGCTGAGCAAAGTACAGGGACCACGGTTCAATCCCCCAGCACCACATGCCAGCCAGCCCGCCCCCCTGGTGGGCTGAGCTGGCCACACACACAAAATAAATAAAATAAATAAATTTCCAGCACTGCTAAAAAAAGGAAAGAAAGAGAAGAATAAAGAAGCAGAGTATACTTTTTATTCTGGAGGCTGAGGCAGGAGGATTGCAAGTTTGAGGACAGCTTGAACAATTTAAGGACACCCATTTCATAACAAAAAATAAAAGAGAGGCTAGGGATATAGCTCAGCAGCACGGCACCTACCTGGCTGGCAAGCATGAGGTCGTAAGTTCGATTCTCTGTACCAAAATAATAAATGATTTTTAAAAGCTTGGGATTATAGCTCAGTGCTCACTTGGTTTAGTCCCCAGTGTCTACACACATACACAGCAGAAGAAGAAAGAACAGAGAGGGTGAAGGAGAGATAGCAATGACCAAAAGTCATTTTGCCTAAACCATCTGTACTTTCCATCATTGGGGACAGGGAGATGGAGATTGATTAGGAGCAGCCACATTGTCCCTATTTTTCTTTCTCTTTTCCTGCACTTCCCCTTCTACAGAAGTGACTCGGCTCTGGAGGAGTCAGTAGCAGAGGTGATTGATCATCGACCCATTGAGCAGAAACATTGTCCTCCCTGCCCCGTCTCGGTTGAGCTGGTGGGGTCCTGCGCTACCCTGGTGGCTGAGCGGATCCTGCAGGGGGCACCAGAGATCCTGGACAGAGAGACTGCAGCCCTTCTGCACGGTGAGGGCAACTGTGGGCGTGGACCCAACTGGCTCCTCTAGGCAAAGTGGAGTAGTCTAGACTCTTACACTTCCAAAATCCAGCTCACACCGGAGGATGAGATTCTTTGGGCAACCCTTAGACACTTGGTTAAAGGCCTATGGGAGCTTATGCTGGAGAAACTGGAAAGGAAAAACAGGGCTGCAGACCTTGAAACTTCCTATTGGCAGCCTGGTTTTGTGGGAAAAGGAGCAGGGAAGTGTTCTGATTCCAGCCCCCCAGGGAAGCTCAGTGTCCTTGAGCAAACCTCATATCTTTTCTTGTTTTGTTTCCATTTTCTCTATTTATCAAAAACAGTTAGGCCAAACTTTCTCTTCCAACTTCAGAATTCTTTGCTGGAATTTGCCCTATTGAAGAGATATCTTCTCTCCAGCTCGTTTTCAAAGTCTCCAAGGAGTGAGTTGCTCAGGCTCTCTTACTACCTTTTCTTCATGTCCTGTTCATGTTTAGTTTGGATTTAGGAAATCTCACTTGCTCAGGACACACTGCAATTCTCATTTTGTTTCTATTGGTTTTGCCCTGCACGTCTTCCCGGTATTTTGTTTGGTTTGAAAGTTAATATGGGGCCAGCAAGATAGCTCAGTGGTCTAAAGTGCCTACTTAGGCAAGCTCAAGCAGACGCAGGGGACTGCAGTTCGATCCCTGGCATCACTTGCTGTGCCAGCCCCACCCTCAGGGTGGGCTGAGCCAGCAAAAAAAAAAAAAAAAGAAAGTTCATGTGTTCTAGGATCATGAATGGACAGTCACAGGATTCAAGTCTTGCTTGCAGTGCTAGAGGTAGGATTCAAGTTTTGCCACCTCCCTTTTCCACAGGAACCATCATCCTGGACTGTGTCAACATGGATCTTAAAATTGGAAAGGCAACCCCAAAGGACAAGGAGTATGTGGAGAAGCTAGAGGCCCTCTTCCCAGATCTGCCAGAAAGAAATGAGATCTTTGATTGCCTACAAAAGGCAAAGTTTGATGTGTCAGGTATGAGCTGACAAGCTGAATTCCCAGCCTCCATGTAAGAAAGTAGGTGGCCAAGCTTTGTTCATGATGTTCGGGAATACCATCAAGACCATTTCAGAGCCAAGCATGATGGCCCTCACCTGGAATCCTAGCACCTGAGGCAGGAAGATCACAAGTTCAAGACCAGCACTGGCAACTTACTGACTCAGTGAGACCTTGTTCCAAAATTTAAAACACTTTAACTAGAAATAGGGATGTAGCTCAGTATGAGCCTCAGTTCAGTCTCCAGTACTGCTGAAAAGAAAAAAAAAAGGGTAGGCGAGTGACAGGGCTCTTACCCTAGTTTATACAAAGCCCTGGATTCTATATGCAGTAATGGGGAAAGAATAAAATATGCTGAGGGCTGTCTCAGACAGAAGCTTTCTTCCCCCCAATAAACATTCTGCTCTTAAAAACAGTATGCTATCGGGGCTGGGGAGATGGCTCAATTCCTGGTTCCGAAAAAAAAAAAAACAAAAAACCCAGTATGCTATCAAGTCCACATCTTGTACAGCAATTAACCACTAGGAAGAATGTATGCAATGTGTTAATTACTGAAACTGTCCTACCAATTTGGTTTGGAACTGTCTCACTGCTATTTGTTTCTCAATAAATTATGGGGGAAAAAAAGTATGCTAAAGAATAGTAAAGGGGCCGGGGAGATGGCTCAGTAGAATAAGCGCTTCCCTGGCAAGTTCAAGGGCCTGAATTCAATCCCTGGTTCTGCAAAAAAAAAAAAAAAAAAAACCAAGTAAATTATTAGAGCACTAACAATATGATTGGTTAGAGAGGCAGCAGAGACATTTAGAAGGAGTACACAAAGGGCAAAGAGAGCAGAAAACTTTATAATCTGCCCAGCTTCTACCTATTCACATAAAAAAGAAAAAGAAGGGAGAAGATAGAAGGAAAGAGAGAAAAGTACCACAGGTACTTAGAAGGCTAAAACAGTACCGAAAGGGGGACAATTACTGGTGACAGTGTAGCTCGGGGAGACTTGTTGCTCATCTCAGCATCACGAATGAAGGGGTTGGGGTGCTCAAGGCAGAAGCCTCTTTACTCCAAAGTTCCTTGCTCTAAAGTTAAGCACTCACTAAGAAGCATGTATACAGTGTGTTAATTATTGAAACTGTCCTACCGATTTGATTTGAAACTGTCTCATTGCTATTTGTTTATCAATAAAATTATGGGAAAAAAAATGAAGTTAAGCACTATAGTCCAGGCAAGTAAGCGACCCCATAGTTACCCCACAGTCACCCCTCATGGGTATTACCCCAAGAAGTGGTGCTGTTCCTTGTCCTCATCCTCACCCCACTGGTGTCCGGACCCTTCATTCCCTGTTTGACCCCTGATCTGGTGTCTGATTGCCAGGCCTGACCACCGAGCAAATGCTGAGAAAGGACCAGAAGGTCATCTACACACAAGGTGTGAAGGCGGCCATTAGTGCGGTATACATGGATCTGGTGGTAAGTGGGGTAGAGTGTAGGTGTGGGTGCGGAGGGAAACCTTGAGTTACGGATGTGATGTAGCCCCTCATTCTGGCTCACCTGGGAAGTATCATTGTTCTGTCAACCTGTATCTGTCCCCTCTGTGAGCCTGGCAGCCTGCCATCTCATGCAGCAGCCACACAGCTCCAAAGCCACTCACCCCCCAGCCAGTGTTGTTTTGAGGTACAAGTCAGATCCTATTAGCTTGCTCCTCCCTTTCCTGCCTTTCATTGTGCTTTTAATAAAATCTGAAGCCCTTCCTGTGTTTCATGGGCCCTGCTTGAGCTGACTCTTGTCTTTCTGTCTGGCCCCAGTTTAGCCCGGCCCCGGCCCTGCGATCCTGCAGCCATGCTGTTTCTCTCTTCTCACACAGTTAAGCTCATCCCCAACTCCCAGCCTTTGAACTTGCTTCTCTCAGCAGAGCTTGCTCTTCTTATCTCTCAGGCCTCTGCTCAGATACATCCTGTTTGGAGAGAGTTTTTCCTGACTACTGCTACTGAAGGTCATCTCCTAATGCTCAAAAAATCTCTGAGTATGGTGAGAGTTGCCTATATCCCCAGTTATTTGCAAGGCTGAGGCAGGACCATCACATGAGCCTAGGAGTTTGAGGTCAAGCAGAGACCACATAGTAAGATCACATCTCAAACAAAAATAAGAGCAAAAATCTCTAGCTGTTAGGGGCCGGGGAGATAGCTCAAGAGAATAAGTAAGTGCCTGCCTGGCAAGTGCAAGGTCCTGAGTTCAATCCCTGGTACTGTAAATAAATAAATACATACATACATACTGGCCAGGGAGATGGCTCAGTGGAATAAGCGCTTTCCTGGCAAGTGCAAGGGCCTGAGTTCAATCCCCGGTTCCACCAAAAAATAAATAAATACCTACATACATACATACATACATACATACATACATAAACAAAAATCTTTAGCTGTTAACTTGTTTTCTTCAGAGCAGTGAACATGCTGAAATGATCTTGTTTTTTATTTCTGTGTGTGTAGATTTCTCTGCTAATTATCAGCTCTGCCAAGAGCAGGGTCCTGTTTTGTTTCTGCTTTTTGTAGGCACCTTTGATGTGTGGCACAAATGGTCTCCTCAGTAAAGTTTGTTGCATGGTACTGCTATGTCCTACACCAGCACTGTACTGCTGAGCTACATTCCTGGCCCTTTTTAAAAAATTATTTTTTTATTTTTCTGAGACAGGATCCTGCTCTGTAGTTGAGGCTGGCCTTGAATTCACTAATGTAGTCCAGGCTGGCCTTGAACTCATAGTGATCCTTCTGCCTCAGCCTTTCAGGTACACAGATTACAGGTACATGCCACCACACCTGACTCCATATTGCGTTTTTTGTGTTTTTGTCTTTCTGTTTTGTTTGTTTGGCAGAACCAGGGATTGAACTCGGCCCTTATGCTTGCCAGGCTAGCACTTATTCTACTGAGCTATCTCCTCAGCCCCTAGGCTAGCCTCAAGCGTGGTGTTCCTCCTGCCTCAGCCTTCCAGGTGCTGGGATTATGCCACCATGCCCACCTTCCATATTGTTTGCTTTTGAGTCAGGGTTGCACTACTTAACCATAACCCTAGTTTATTTGAAAGGCCAAGGATAGAGAAAAGCCCTGACTTGCAATAGGTGGTAGTGTTTCCTCATTGGAGGAAGTACTGCATGAGATTTGGGAGAAGAGTAGAGGTTGGTGAAGGACAGTGAGTCAAGAGCATAGCAGCATGTGGCTGCACTTCTGTTTTTTAAATGGTACTAGGATAAACTACGTGTGCAAGCAATGTGGGAAGGCATTCATTATACACAAGTATTGTCAACTACATGAAATAACTCACAGTGGGATGAAACCTTATGTGTGTAGGCAAAGTGGAGAAGCACTCAAAGTAAGAATTACAAAACATATATAAAATGTCACTGTGTTGAGTAATCAAATGTGTGCAAGCAACATGGGATGCATTCACTACAAAGAATGCTTGCAATATACATTAAAAACTCACCCAAGGAGAAGCCTTCTATGTGCAAGCGATGTGTGAGGGCACTTACTACACATCAACACTGCCAAGTACATGAAACAATCTACACTGTGGAGAAATCTTATGTGTGCAAAAAATGTGGGAAAGAATTCCTTACAAAGAAATACTATTTTTAAATAATTTTATTGAGAGACAAATAGCAATGAGACAGTTTCAAAACCAATCAGTAGGAGAGGTTTTTTTTTAAAAAAATATTTATTTATTTATTTGTGTGTGTGTGGCCAGCTCAGCCCACCAGGGGGCGGGGCTGGCTAGCATGTGGTGCTGGGGGATTGAACCGCGGTCCCTGTGCGTTGCTTGTTCTAAGTAGGTGCTTTAGACCACTGAGCCATCTCTCCAGCCCAGTAGGAGAGTTTCAATAATTAATACGCTCTATAAAATTATGGAAAAAATAAATAATTAATACATTGTAAAAAATAAATGGTACTAGGGATTGAATCTAGGGCCCATTTTACTTTTTATTTTGAGATAGGCCTGCCCAAGCTGTGCTTGAACTTGGGATCCTCCTGCCCCGGCTTCCAGAGGGCTAGAATCACAGGTGTGTCCAACCACGCTTTGCACATGTCTGCTCTTATTTATGTTCCCTGTTCTGCTTTATAACAGAAATGTTCACAGGCCAGGATCTAGCTGTTAACTTGTTTTCTTCAGAGCACTAAACATGCTGAAGTGATCTTTTCTGTTTCAGCATAAGTGCCTGCCTAGCAAGCACAAGGTCCTGAGTTTGATTCCCAGTACTGAAAAAAAAAATATTGCTCACAAAACAGAAGTCTTATTTATTTGATCACAAGAACAGAAAAGCCTTCAACATGCCAGGTTGCATTATCATGTTTTGAATCTTTGTTTGTTTGTTCCTTCTTGTTTTGGTGCAGCAATTGACTATTGCTAATAATATCTACCATTGAACTATACCCCCAGCTTTTCACCTCCTCACATTTTAGTTCTTTAATTCCTAAAACAGTTACCTTTGGGTTTGTTTGTTTTGAGACAGGGAGTCACTGTCACTATGTAGTTTAGGCTAGCTCACTAGGTAGCCCAAACTGGCCTTGAGTTCCCAGCAATCCTCCTGCCTCAGCCTCCCAAGTGCTGGTGTTACAAACATACGCCACCACAATTGGCTACCTTTGGTAATTGTTGGCCTCATTTTCTTTCTTTCTTTTTTTCTTTCTTTCTTTCTTTCTTTCTTTCTTTCTTTCTTTCTTTCTTTTTTTTTTTTTTTCAGAACTGGGGATTAAATTCAGGCCCTTGGTGCTTGTCAGGCAAGCGCTTATTCTACTAAGCCATCTCTCCGGCCCTGTTGGCCTTACTTTCTAGATGTTGAAACTTAGGTTCAGGCAGTTAATATTACTCCTTGACTATCTAGTTACTAGGCGATAGAGCTGGTTTTCCAGTCAGTTCTGTCTTAATCTAAAACCTATAGTCTCCATATTTGATCTCATTGCTTGCCAACCTGGATTCAGCACAGTGAACATTAGACACCTTTCTCGTGGACACTAAGTTGTGGTCAAGACAGAGAGAGGGTCCCGCCGTGGCGCTCATCATTCTCTCCTTCCCTCTCAGGCCTTCCTGCAGAGGCCTGGCCTCCTGCAAGACCTCAGCGCACTCTGCCAGGCTCACAGCTGCGACGCCCTGGTTGCCATGACCATCTTTTTCAACACTCACAATGAGCCAGTGCGGCAGTTGGCCGTTTTCTGTCCCCAAGTTGCCCTTCGGATGATGGTGAGTATTTCTCTTAAGTTTGCCTGTGTGCACCTCTGTCCTGCAGCTCTGTGCTGTGGGGACCTCGGTTCTTGACCTGTGTCTGGAACCCCAACCCCCTCTTTCTCCATCCTCCACACGTGTGAGTGGGCGGTTTATTGTACCATTGTTGAGAAAGGGGCACTCCACGAGAATTAGAGACAGTCCTTGCTTAGAAGGAACTCAAAATCCAGTGAGAAGGAAATAGTATAAATGTGGAGTCATATTTGATTCTTGGCTTAATCATTAATTCCTCTGCATGAAAATCTGATCTTTTGGGCTGGAGAGATGGCTCAGTGGTCTAAAGCAACTACTTGGAACAAGCTTGGCAAAGCACAAGGACCGCGGTTCGATCCTTCAGCACCACATGCCAGCCAGCCTCGCCCCCTGGTGGGCTGAGCTGGCCACATACACACACACACAATAAATAAATGTAATAAATAAATAAATAATTAAAAAAAAAAAAAAAAGAAAATCTGATCTTTTGTTTCGGCCCTGTTGCCTAGATAATTAGAAACATGAGAGGATGGGTCAGCATGGCTCTGTAGTAGAGCAGGAGGCCTGGCTTCTGTCCTAGTACTTTTCTTTTTTTTTAATACGACACAGAAATTATAGTACGAACTCTGAAGCATGATTGAGAGCCATGTTTTTTTTCCTTTCTTGTTCTCCTTTTGGCCATTTTTCCCAGCTCTTTCCCTTTCTGTTCCTCTGTTGGTTAATGATTAGTAAGAAAAGAATTTATTGGAATACAGCCACATTCACTCAGGTATGTGTTGCCTGTGGCTGTTATTTTTTATTATTATTTGTTTATTTTTGGTACTGGGAAGCAAATTCAGGACCTTGCGCTTGCAGGCAGGCGCTTGTGCTGAGCTATCTCCTTGGCCTAAGAGAAGAATTTAAAAGTGGGCTTGAGGCAACCAGGGACTCTTGAGTTGCTTAGACTCTGAGGACTGCTAAGAGCACAGCGCAGCCAGGTAACCCTTTGCGCTCATGAAGGTGGGTCTGCCGCTTCCCATCTCTCTGCCTTTTTCATCCCCAGCAAGCAAGTTTGATTTCATCCAGTGTGAAAGAGTCTGGTATAGTAGAAAGAGAGAGTTTTTTGAAATCTGATAAACATGCTTTTGTGTTCCAGGTTTGCTACTTAGTTACCTTTAGGCTAAGGTGTCAATAGACTTCTGAGACTATAAATGGCATAATACTGCCTACTCTGATGGTGCCATCAATGTAATATCATATGGAAAGTCAAGTGAGGGGCGGGGAAGGGCCGGGGAGATGGTTCAGTAGAATAAGCGCTTCCCTGACAAGCGCAAGGGCCTGAGTTCAATCCCCGGTTCCACCAAAAAAAAAAAAAAAAAAAAAAAGGGCCGGGGAGATGGCTCCGTAGAATAAGCGCTTGCCTGGCAAGTACAAGGGCCTGAGTTCCAAAAAAAGTAAGCACTCAGAATATAATGGCTCTTACTAATCCTGTCATGAAGGGAAGGATACTTAAGTGCTCTTCTGTTGGGTATAGAGGTGCGTACTTGCAATCACAGCTACTTGAGAGGCTGAGGCAGAAGGATTGCCAGTTTGAGACCTGCCTAGGCAGTTGACCAGCTTATGAGAGTGTCTCAAAATAAAAAATGGGCTGGGAGGGCCAGGGAAATAGCTCAGTGGCACTCTGCCTGGCAATTGTAAGGTCCCAAGCTCAATCCCAGTACCAAATAGAGGGAGAGGCTAGGGATATGGTTCAGTGCTTCCTGCGTTCAGTACCCATTACCACAAAAAATAGAAATGTTCCTCCCTCTTCCAGAATCTATTCCTCTCTCTGCTGCCCTGAAGCCGTGTGGATGCCTGGTGACTCATTGCCCAGGCTGCCTCCTTGATGTTGGGAGAGAGGAATCTTCTTCTCGTAGTGTGCCTCACTAACTCTTTTCCCCCTACATTAGGAAAAGTGTTAATATATTGATGTAGAAACTGGTCTTGGCTTCAGACCTGGCTTTGTGTCAGTTTTATTTCATACAAACTGTAAGTTACCTAATACACACAAGCCTCTGTTTCCCTGCCATAGATGAGGGTAATAGTAATACCAGTATCAATCTAATCAGGTAGTCCTAAGCATTAAATTAGATAGGTGCCATGCTTGACAGGTCTGCTGCTACTGCCTTTCTGCCTCAGTCTTCTCTTGGCCTGTAGAGTTAGTAGCTCCAGCCTAGCTGAGGGCAGAGTTAAAGTCCTTGCGCACAGGTGTATACTTGGAAACAGTGCACGATGTCTTAGTCGCTTTCCCGTCACTGGGACATAATACCTGACCCACAACCTAGAGGAGGAAAGGTTTCTTTTGGCCTATAGTTACAGCCCGGCTGTAGGGCAGAAATGGCACAGTGGAGGGGCCTAGTGAGGGACAGTTGCTGGCACTGTGGTCCAGAAGCAGAGGAAAGGGAGATACATGGATGCCCCCAGTGGCCCACGTCCTATGACCAGGCCCTTCTTCCTAGCAGCAGGTAGGTGGTGTGGCTTCAAGCTTCAGCTGCCTTCCAAGGCAGCACCTACAAGGACAGAAGGCCTTTGAGGGACATTCTTTCATTTTCTTTGTTTTTTTGTTTTTTTTTTTGTTTTTCTGAGACAGGGTCTCTCTTTGTAGTTCAGGCTGGTGTGACTTCACAGTGATTACAGTAGTGGGCCACTGAACCTGGCCTGGAGGACATACTTTTTATTTATTTTTTAATGTATGTAGTAGAGTCTACAGGATTGAGCCTCCTGTTTTCAGCCTCTTAAGTGCTGGATTACAGGCCTGCGCCACCATGCCCAGCCTTAGGCGCTGTCTCAGTGCACCCTGGGGCCGGGGCCGGCATGGCCTGTGGTGCTGGTATCAAACCACCTTGGTCCCTGCGCCTACCTAAGCAGGCGCTTTAGTCCACTGAGCTATCTGGCTGGCCCCTGGAAGACTTTTTTTTTTTTGAGGCCATTCTAAACCCTAACAGTAGATTAAGAATCAGTGGTCCTGTATTCTTTCAGGTTCAAACTCTGATCATCCACATGGTATTGCTCCAGACACTATTAAGTGTCTCTGAGCCTTGGTTCTTTTTGTGTGTGTGTGTGTGTGCTTAAGGTTGAGCCTAGGGGTATAGAGTACCACAGAGCTATATGGCCACTTTTCGTTTTTATTTTGAGATTAGGTCTGACCTAGTTCACCAGATTGCCTAGGCTGGCCCTGAACTTTCCCCAGATTCTGAAGCCCCAGCCTCCCAGGCAGCTGGGATCATAAATATGTGCTGCCTCACCCAGCTAGGTTGCTGTTTGTTACTTTTTTTTGTGCAAGGGATTGGATTTACGGCCTCGCACTTGTGCTAGGCAAGTGTTCTAGGAGTTTTTTTGTTTGTTTTGTTTTGTTGGCTGCTCAGGATGCCTTCAGAGCAGGGCTGGTTTGGCTTGAGGATGAGGGGATCGAACCACAGCATCCTGAGTCTGACTGCTTTGTTTCAGCAGGCACTTAAACACCTGAGCTAATGGGAGGCCCCCAAGGCAAGTGTTCTACTCAGAGTCAAATCTCCAGCCTATGCTTCCTTATGAATGAAAAGCAGCATGATCTAAAATTTTCTGTTTCTTTCCAGACATGGTTCCCATGCCTGTACTCTCAGCACTCTGGAAGGCTGAGGCAGAGGATTCCAAGTTTGAGCACAGCCTGGGTAGTTTACTAAGACTCTGTCTCAAAATAGAAAATAAAAAAGGGCTGGGGAATGTAGCTTAGTGCAAAGGTTTTGGCTTGAACCCCCAGCTTGGGGAGTTATTTCTAAAAATTCTGTGTATGGGGCCAGGGAGATAGCTCAGTAGAATAAGTGTTTGCCTGGCAAGCACAAGGGCCTGAGTTCAGTCCCCATTTCCACAAAACAAATAAATAAAATTCTGTGTATGTTAGAGATGTTCCTTTTGTTGCAAGCACTAAAACTGAAGTTGGAAAGTTGAAATGGTTGATTAAAGTTTCCTTCTGTGTTGGAATCTTCTCACTTAGAAGCCTGAGCTCTTTGCTACACTGAGTTATATAGCATTTCCTGTTCTCATCTTCTTTGTAGATCTGTGGCGCCCTGGAATGCTCCCACTCCCCAGTGCTGAAGCTGACCCCTATCCCGACCACCCACCCTGACCTCCAAGCCTATCTTCAAGGCAATACCCAGGTCTCTCGAAAGAAACTTCTGCCTCTGCTCCAGGAAGCCCTGTCAGCGTACTCTGACTCGGGGAAGATTCCCACAGAGCAGCCTGAGGCAGTGGGAGCCTCTGCGGAGCAGGCGGACCAGGGGTTGGACAAGACGGGTAGTTCCCTGACTCCTGGACTGAGTCAAGATGAAGATGACCCCCCTCTACCCCCCACCCCCATGAACAGCTTGGTGGATGAGTGCCCTCTGGACCAGGGGTTGCCCAAGCTCTCAGCTGAGGCCGTCTTTGAGAAGTGCAGTCAGATTTCACTGTCACAGTCTCCCACTGCTGCCGTGTCAAAGAAATGACTCCTGGGAGGGGATGGGGTGCAGGAGGGGTGGCTTGACGCACCTCAAATGCATGTTTTGGGAAGTTTGGAGATTTCAGCTGTTGGTATACAGTACTGTCCTCATGAAACTGGGAGGTGAAAGACAGGAAAGAAAGCAGCTGCTGTAGGAATGGCTTTCTGCCCTTTTCCTCCAGTCTCTACCAATCAGACAGATGTTATTATTTAAATCTACATTGACTTTTCTCTCTTTCATTTGTCAGGGGGCACGATGTAATGTAGTATACCCACAGTCCCAGCAGAGTGGGAAAAAAGAATGGAACCCCCAAAGTGCCCTCAGTAAGGATCTTGAAAAGAATCAGTAACCGTCATGGAACCAGACATTTATTGATGGTTTCCTTGAATTTATTTCTTCATTTACTTATTTAAGTATTTATTGAATACTTATTTTAAGCTGGATAGAAGGGTACACTTTAGAAACTCACTCTGGCCGGGTGTGGTGCTCGGGAGAGTGAGGTAGGAGGATCCTTGTGAGTTTGAAGCCAGCCTGGGCTACAAAGTAAGCTCAAGGCAGCCTGAACTGCATAACAAGACTCTGTCTCAAAAAGACAAAAAAAAAAAAGAGAGAGAGAGAGCAAAAAGAAAAAGAAAAGAGAGAGAAAAGAAGGTCTCGCTCCAGTTTTCAGCCTTCAACAGATTTCCAGGTCTCTGACTCTTTCCTGGCCTCTGGTCTTTGATGGAGAGATGGCTGAATTTCCATTCTGAGCTTATTGTGGCTGTTTCCAGGCTTGTTTGGGAACAGACTGAATGCCATTACCTTCCGTCCCAATCAGGTGGCTTCCCTTTCTGTTTCTTTGGATTCTTCTGTCCCAGAGTCAAAAATCCTGAGGAGACGCTGAAGACCCCTGGTTCTTTTTGTGTATTTAGTACAGGGTCTACAAGGTGTCACTGCACAATTGGAATCGTAGTTATCCTCTTGTTTTCTGCCTCCCAAGAGCTGGGATTACAGGCTGGCGCCACCACGCATCCAGTCTCAGCGTGCCCTGGGGGCAGGGCTGGCCTGGCACACCAGAGACAGAGCCCGGTCCCTGTATCTGCCTAAGCAGGTGCTTTAATTCTCTGAGCTGTCTGGCCAACTCTGACCCCTGGTTCTTGACAGTAGCCAGTCTTCCTAAAAGGACCGAGAAGCCTCAGTTTGTCTCTGTCCTAGCAGGTCAGTGAATTTCTTGTCCATTTCTTTCTGTTTGGCCATGTGAAAAGAAAGTGTGAGTCCTTGTACCGATGGCCACAACCTGTGTGTCTTCTGGCAAGACACTTGGCATGTCTAGGTCTCATTGTCCCCATCTGTAGGACAGGGTTTGGATTAGGTGTTCCCTTGTGTGCTGTGATCTGCCTATTGTCTCTTTTTCTGTTGCTCTGTATTTTTTCTTTCATTTTTTCGGGAAGGGTTGGGGGTCACTGGATTGTCTGTTTGTGTGTGCCAAGGGGATAAGTCTTGTGTAGCATGTAGAGGGCTGTGGTTCATACCACAGGGACCCTGCGGAGAGCACCCCCACCAGCCTGCATGTGTAGTCTCCCCCTTCCTCCTTCAGACCAGCCTGTTCACCCTCTTCCTGCCCCTTATTATTTCCCGAAAATGTCACTGAACAGTGGGGTGTGTGGTAGTTCCAGCATGATATCTTCCAGGGTAAGGGGACAGTCTGAGTTCACTGTAATGGGATGATGCCTGTAGCCATTTGAAAGGGAAAAATATTGGGGCCAGGGATATAGCTCAGTGGCACAAGCGCCTGCCTGGCAAGCACAAGGTCCTGAGTTGGATTTCTGGTCCCACCCCCCTAAAAAGCAAATAGAAAGATAGAAATAGTGGTGTGATCACCGAACCAAAGGACTTTATGTTTTGTAACTTGGGTACTTTGTTTTGCATTTTGTTAAAGTATTAAATACTTTTTCCTGTTTGGGGTATTATTGTCTTTTTATAACTAGCCTAGACCTCTACCTTCAGTAATTGTTTCCACCTCCCACAAGTTTATCTCCCATCTTTCTGCTAATTTAATTTGTCAACTCTGTTGGGGATGGGAAGACTGGGTATGGAAGCCAGGACCTTTGCTGTGAGCTTCATCAGCCTTTTATTTTGCATCTTGGGGCAGGGTCTCACTACGTCACCATGTTGCCCAGGCTGGGCTTGAGCTTGCTCTCCTGCTATCTCAGCCTCAGTGTGCTGGCCTGTGCCACCACACCCAGTTATCTATCAAGCATTACTGAGGAATGAACCTAATGCCTTCTCGATGAAGCTTTATCTCCACTCCTTTCCCCCCCCTCTTTTAAGCTTTTGTTTATGGAGGTTTTGGGGGGTACCGGGATAAACTCTGATTTTCAGGCTGGCCCAGACTCAGCCTCCCAGTGCTGGGATCACAGGCATGTGCCACCATGCCCAGCTCTCCTTTATATTTTTTCTTCAAGAACCTTCCTTACAACATAATTCTTCCCACTTTTGCTCACACAGTACTTCAAAAGTAGGCCCAAGTCTAGATAGTGGTCTCAAGGACACCCAGAACTAGAGTGACACCCTGTCTCAAAAAAACAAAAGTAGGCCCAAGGTAGTGTTTGATTCTACTGTTCTTCCACCCCTACCCCTTAGCTGTTTTAGAAAGTTATCAGGTATCTAGAAAGGGGAACACAAGTCTTTCCTGGACTCACCCCAGCCCAGTCACCCCATGGAAAATGCACTCTCCTCCCCAAAGCCCGCCCCCACATAGGAGGCAGGGTTGTTCTTTTGGGCAGACCTGCTTCTTGGGAGGGAAGGTGGCAAAACCTGTTTGAAGATGAGGCTGCCTCCCTTCCACACCTCCCTCTTCCATAGAGGCCAGAGCAACAAAGGCTGGGACCTAAAAGGGTCAAGAAGGGTTGGGGGCTGGAACAGCCAGTTCCCCAGCAACTACTAAGTGTTTGAAAAAGACAGAAAGACTGTGAAGATGGAAACTGTACAAGAGGCAGGGAAAAAGACATCAGACCTCGGGTAAGTGTAAATGTGGCTACCTGACTGGGTGTGGAGTGAAGGATTTCTCAGGGACCAGCCCCTACCCAGGGTGTTTGCAGGGGTTCTTTGAAAAGACTGAAAGGAATTAATTTGCAGGGAAGGGCTAGGGTGCCTTCAGGTAGGAAATGTCAGTGTGATTTGGAATTTGGTAACTGGGCTTCTAGTATATCTCCCTGATTTAAAAAAAGGAAGTGTCTATGTTTTGTATCTGATTAATTGCCTGTGTTTTCCCCCTCACACCCCGAACTCCCACCTTCTAAATAGCTTGTCCAAAATGAGTTTTCATCCAGGTGTCCCCCCCAACTCCACCAAGTTCCAGGTGAAGCCACTCCCAGCAGAGTGGAGGAAAGGCAGGCCCAGTGAGCTGCATTGTGTTGTGCTGGCAGCTTCCCTGAGAGCCCAGGACGGCTTGGCAGGCCGGTCTGGGCTCCAGCTACTGTCATGGGAACGCCTCTCATCCTTATGTGGGAAGTGGAGCCACAGCCATAGGGAAAATGTGATCGGCTCATTTCATCTTTCCTCTGCTCCTAAACCCAGGTGAAGGTGGAAAAACATTGTACAGGAAACAAGAAATCTGAGTTCTTGTTTTTCTGAGGCATCTCACCACATGACCTAGGCTGGCATGATCTCCTATCTCAGTCTCCCCAGGGCTGCAGTTTGTTGAGTTCTTTTAGTTTAAGGCTTGCCCTCTGTAGCATAATACCTGCCCTGCAATCCAGTGTCTACTCTTAAGCCACTGTCTAGGTTGTTCCATGATAATCTTTTCTTCTGGGGAATCAGGGTCAGGGAGAATGCAGAAGAGCCAGAGCCAGGAGCAGCCCTGAAACTCGGGGAACTGGAGCTGAAGGAAGAATGGCAGGATGAAGAATTCCCTGGGTGAGGAAGGGAAAAGGAGTCTGGGGGAAGTCACAAACAGAGGGCACAGAGGGGGCAAGTTAGAACTTGTAGGAAAAGCTGGGAAAGAAGACAACAGGGCAGGGAGAGAGAAAGCTGCTCAGCTCTCAGCTGGCGTGAAGGCCCTGTTGTCCTTTCCCTTGTAGATTGCTGCCTGAGGAGCCCGGACCTTCTGAAGAGCCTGACAATTCTCAGAGAGACTCCCAGGCAGGTGAATCAAGTAGAACCTGGATTTCAAGTTCCTGACTCTAGCCCACTGAAGGGCCAGGCTACCGTTACCCATTGTAGCACCATTCCCCCCTTTCCCAAATGTCCCATGTCACTTTCATCTTTTTTTTTTAAATTTTATTTATTTATTTGTGTGTGTGTGTGTGTGTGTGTGTGTGTGTGCGTGTGTGTGTGTGTGTGTGGCCAGCTCAGCCCACCAGGGGGCGGGGCTGGCTGGCATGTGGTGCTGGGGGATTGAACCGTGGTCCTTGTTCTTTGGTAAGCTTGTTCTAAGTAGGTGCTTTAGACCACTGAGCCATCTCACCAGCCCCGTCACTTTCATCTTCAGAGTTCACTCCCTAATGTTCCTGTCCACAGAGATTCTAGCAACCATCCTCAAACACATCTTTTTCTGTGTCTCCCCACTTGATCCACCCCAGCTACCCCCAGCACTTTAGCCCTGTGTGGCCAGCGCCCCATGCGGAAGCGCCTGTCAGCCCCGGAACTGAAGCTAAATCTGCTAGAGGAGCCTGGGGATGAGGGAGCTTCTCCCACCCACTCCGCAGCTTCTTCTGAAGGCAGCTCAGACCTGGATGTAGATGAATTGGAGACACCTTCAGACTCGGAGCAGCTGGACAGTGGGCATGAATTTGAATGGGAAGGTGGGGAATAATCTCCAGTACAGCTAGCAGAAGTAGAGACCAATGAGGATGGGGACCTGGCTCAGGGGCAGAGTACTTGCCTAGCATGTACAAAGCCTCAACATAAGCAAAAAAAAAAAAGAAAAGCCACAAACATCCACATCAGTGATTCAGCGAGGCCTGCCTAGCATTTTGTTGTTGTTCTGGGTTTTTTGAGACAGGATCTGGCTGTGTAGTTAAGGATGGCCCTGAACTCACTATGTAGCCCTATGCAGCACTAGGTTGGCCTTGAGCCAATAATCCTGCCTCAGCCTCCCAAATGCAGGGATTACAGGTTTGTAACACCAGGCCCAGCGCAGCTAACTTTGTATTAAAGAAGGAAAAAGATCCAGTGTAAAGGTGCTGGTGAGATAGCTCAACAGACTAAAGCACCTACGTAGGCAAGCACAGGGATGGTAGTGTTGGAACCCATGGTTGGACCCCCAGTAGGATTCCTGCACCACATGTCTCACCAGCCCCGCCCTCAGGACGGGCTGAGCCACAGAGGCTGTCTGGTGCACACTGTAATCCCAGTGCTGGGGAGGCTCAAAGTGGGAGGATCACCTGCAACAACAAATACATTAAAAAAAAAAAAAAAATCCAATGTAAAAAGCAGCTCTGTATGCATTTAAAGGGACTGATGTTAGACCTAATAAGGTAGAGAATAAGAGAAAACCAGCAAAATTAATTTCCTCAAAAAAGAAAGTTAAGAGTTTATAGATGTGGGGCCGGGGAGATGGCTCAGTAGGATAAGCGTTTGACTGGCAAACGCAAGGATCTGAGTTCAATCCCCAGTTCCGCAAAAAAAAAAGAAAAAAAAAAAGAGTTTATAGATGTAAGAATAGCAGGGGTATCATTATGTCTCAAAAATGTGCCAGTAACAGACAAAGAAAAAGGGGCTGGGGAGATGGCTCAGTGGAATAAGCGCTTCCCTGGCAAGTGCAAGGGCCTGAGTTCAATTCCCCAGTTCCACCAAGAAAAAAAAAAAAAAAAAAAGAAAGAAAGAAAGAAAGAAAGAAAAAAAGAAAAAAGAAATAAACTTGGGGCCAGGGAGAAGCCTCAGTGGAATAAGCACTACCCTAGCAAGCGCAGGGTCTGAGTTCAATCCCCAGTTCCGCCAAAAAAATTAAAATAAAATAAAAAACTCAAACAGAAAAAAAATATATATATATAGCAGGGAGAGGCCTGTCAGTTATTAAGGAAAACTATTCAATACTTGTTACATGCTGTCACTGAGCTACAACTGACATAGTAATGACAAAAGCCTAGGCCAGATATGATAATGGCGCACCTGTAATCCCAGCACTTGGGAGCCTGAGGCAGGAGGAAGACCAGCATAGGCCAGAAAGTGAGCTCAAGGATAGCCTGAACTGCATAGTGAGAGCCTGCCTCATAAAGACTAAATTAAGACAAAGGCCTTACCCTTAAAAAAAGCTTCTATGTGGCCATGCTGAGGAGTTGAGATTTTGTGCCATGGGCAGGGTGAGTCATGGAAAAGTTTTAATCCTGGGAATAACGTGGTCAAATTAATAATTCTATAAAGACTGAACACATTCAGGAATGGAGGTGCATGCCTGTGATTCCAGCACTGGGGAGCCTCAGGCAGGAGGATCGCTGCAAGTTGGAGCCCAGCCTGGACTACAAACTGAGTTCAAGGCCAGCCTGAACTGCATAGCAATACCCTATTTCAAAACAATAACAAAAAACAACCAAAAGTTCTATCATTAGGGCATTCATATTATTATAGTTCTGTCATATAATGGGTTGCTAAATACCGTGTACCTCCTTCCCGGCTGGCCCACACAAATCAACCCAGGACCTCACAAATGCTAGGGAAGTGCTGTACAACTGAGCTATGCCCCCAGCCCCATGCTGCTGTTTTTCAAGATGAGGCAACTCTTTGCTATGGAAAGATCATAAAAAATGGTGGCTACATTATTGTTTGAGTTAAAAAGGTAATGGAGACGAAAAAGCTTGTTCTAGCAGAGGGTGGTGGATTAGAGGAAAACAACCTAAAGGCAGGGAGGAAAACAACCTGAGGGCATATGGGAGATGTCCCTAAGCAAGGACAGAGCCAAGGGCAAGATGACAACAGCAGAGGGAAGGAAGAGGCTCTGTAGCCCAGCTGGCTTGAGAGCTGTGCAGAAAAGGAGTCTCAAATGATAGCTTTAGGCAGCTGGATGGATGAGTAATTCATCAAGATAGAAAATATAGGGGAAAAGGAAGAAGAAATTTTTGAGTTCTGTTTTGTGTCTTGTGACTTGTGACAGGAAGGTGCAAGGTGGAGACGGCCAGGCATTAGGGATATGGAGCTGGAGTGAGCAGAGACGTCTGTAGCAGAAAGGCCAACTGCGAGTCATACTGATGGGCAGTAACAAAAGATGGGAATAGAGGTGCTCACAGCCAGAAACATGGAAGAAAGAGCAAAAGGAAGGGCTGGTGAGATGGCTCAGTGGTCTAAAGCACCTACTTAGAACAAGCTTAGCAAAGCACAGGGACCACGGTTCAATCCCCCAGCACTACATGTCAGTCAGCCCCGCCCCCTGGTGGGCTGAGCTGGCCACACACAAAAAAATTAATTAATTAATTAAAAAAAAAAGATTCAAAACCATTACTTTAAAAAAAAAAAAAAAAAGAGCAAAAGGAAGGCAGGCCAAGGAGGTAGTTCAGCAACAGAAGCACCTGCATGGCAAACACAAGGTCCTGAGTTTGATTCCTGGTACCAGAAAAAGAAAGAAAGAAAGAAAGAGAATGGAAGGGCCAGTCAAATAGCTCAGTGAATTAAAGTGCCTGCAAGCAGGCGCAGGGGCTGGGGGTTTGATCCCCAGGCCTGCAGTGCTGGCCCCGCCCCAGGGGCTCGCTGAGATAGCAATTGAGACAGCATAGTGGCGCAGTCTGTAATCCCAGCTCTTGGGAGGCTGTAGACAGGCAAATCATGAGGAATCCAATCTAGTAGTGAGACCTAGTAATGAGAGCCTAAACACCCAAATGGAATAAAACCAATCTGGCAAGCACCATAGACCTGCCATTGTACAAGGCTACCCTGAAGGTCACTAACCAATGATAGAAAGAGACCAGCAGGAGGTTGGGTTAATTGGATAAAATGGTTAAACAAAAAAAAACTGAGAGGTTGAAATAGTAACACAGAACAGTCCTAGAGAAGTTAGGGGGTGCTGAAGGCTAGTTGCTCCCCCACTTGGCCCTCACCCTCTGTTTCAGATGACCTGCCCCGGGCAGAAGGCCTGGGGGCCAGCGAGGCAGCGGAAAGGCTGGGCCAAGGTTGCGTCTGGGATGTGGCCGGAGGAAATGGTCATCGCTGGAGGGTGTTCCGAACAGGAACTCGGGAGCACCATGTGGACATGACTGTCATTGAGCCCTATAAGAAAGTCCTGTCTCACGGAGGTAACAGCTAGTAGAGGGGGTAAAAACTAGCTTAAGCTTTTGCTAGGGGTAAAACAACACTTGAACTGGAGACTCAGGTACTGCACCCTCCTTATTTCCTGAGGCCATTGGTGTCCTGAAGCCTGATCCTATGTACTGTCAATACATATTTGTAGCCTGAGATTTTTCCCTTATTGTCCCCAGGTTACCATGGCGATGGCCTCAATGCGGTCATCCTCATTGCTTCCTGTTACCTACCCCAGAGCAGCATCCCCAACTACACCTATGTCATGGAACACTTGTTTAGGTGAGTGGAAAGTTTGAAAGGCTACACGGAGGGGACTAGAGGAGGAGAAATAAAAAGGAACCTCCAAGTTCAGGCAGGAGCCAGTTAGAGACTACATTAATGTTGCCAGAAACTCAACACATACCTTCTCTCCATGTCCTCCACCCTCTCCAGGTATATGGTGGGAACTCTGGAGTTGCTGGTGGCTGAAAATTATCTACTTGTTCACCTGAGTGGAGGCACAAGCAGGGCCCAGGTTCCGCCTTTGAGCTGGATCCGCCAGTGTTACCGCGCCCTGGACCGGCGGTGAGATCTCAAATGGAGGGGGCTGCAGCTGTACCTCCTGAGTTCATTTTCCATCTTTCCACTCCTTCCTCTCCCAGTTAGTCCCTTCATCTGTTCTCTTTCCCTCTCTACTCCCTCCAAAGCCGTTCCTGTGTTCTGTGGACTCTTGGGAGTCATTGGAATCTCAGTTTCTTTTGTCCTATTTTTTATTTTGATTAATCTGTGTTGGGGGACCGGGAAGATAGCTCAGTAGAATAAGCACTTCCCTGGCAAGCGCAAGGGCCTCAGTTCAATCCCTGGTTCTGCAAGAAAAAAAAAAAAAATCTGTGTTGGCGGGGCATGGTGACTACCTTGGTCTGGAGTGGGAGGGAGGTGGTACATTCAAGTGATACATCCTTTTTTTTTTTTTTTTTTTTTGAAACCAGGGATTGAACTCAGACCCTTGACTTGCCAGGGAAGCGCTTATTCTACTAAGCCATCTCCCTGGCCCAATATATCTTAATTCCTCTTCTGTAGGCTCTCCTCCACCTTGCCCTTATCAAGCCTTTATCACTTGCTATATGTGTGATTCTGGCCAAGCCTTTCTGACCCTTGTGTCCTTATCCGTAAAGGGGCAACAATCACGCCTCCATCACTGAGCATTTGTGGAAGCCAGTCCCTGCATGGGGCGCCCTGCTGGCGCACAACAGCACTCTTGCTTTCTTCTCAGTCGCATTCTCTTCAGTTTGCACATCTCTAATTCCTTCTCCTTTTTTTGAGGCAGGGTCTCACTATGTAGTTCAGGCTGATCTTGTACTTACTACATCGTGCAGGCTGGCCTCCAACTCACAGCAATTCTGCTTCAGCCTCCCGAATGCTGGGATTTCAGGAGTGCACTGTGCCACCGCACCCAGCTCTCTCCCTTCATCCCTTATCTATGTACTTTTTCTCTCCCATGTTGCTTTTTTCTTTGTTTGCCCATCTTCTTCTTCCTCTTCCTCTTATCTTTGCCCATCTTTTTTTTTTTTTTCCAGAACCTGGGATTGAAATCAGGCCCTTGCACTTGCCAAGCAAGCATTTATTCTACTGAGCCATCTCCCCGGCCCTGTTTGCCCATCTTCCTTTTACTTATTTTTCATCTTCCTGTCCCTTTTTCTTTTTTCCTTCTTACTGGTCTTCCATTTGGAGTTTTATAAGTAGTCTAGCCAGAGAGGGATGGGGGAGTTTGCAAAAGAAACTTATGTGGGTCAGGGCAGGAGGGAAATGGGGTAGAAAAGACCAAACGGAGGCTGGGGAGATGGCTCAGTAGAATAAGCGCTTGCCTGGCAAGTGCAAGAGCCTGAGTTCAATCCCCAGTTCCTCAAAAAAAAAAACAAAAACAAAAAACAAAAAACCATATGGAGGGCCAGGTGTGGTGGCCCATGCCTATAATCCCAGCACTCTGGAGGCTAAGGCAGGAAGTTTGCTGTATGAGGACATCCTGGGCTAGACAGTGAGTTCAAGAGTGGTCTAAACTACAAAGCAAGAACATGTCTCAAAACAAAAACAGGGCCAACAAGATAGTTCAGCAGACTAGGCAGCATGTGCTGCCCAGCCCTGCTGGGCATAGTGGCACATGCCTGTAATCCCAACACTGGGGAGGCTGAAAACAGGAGGATCATCAAACCCATGTTGCATAGTGAGACCCTGGCAAAAACAAAATATGTTAAAAAAAAAAAAGAAAGAAAGAAAGAAAGAAAGGCTATTATGGTTTGCCTCATGATGGCCCACTCTGTGTCCTCCAGGGTATACTGTCTTTCTTTCTTTTTTTTTTTTTTTTTTTTTTGAGAAACAAATATCAACAAGACACTTTCTAAGCTCATTAATAGGACATTTTCAATAATTAATACATCGCACATTGTTATCTTCTCAGCAGTTATCCACAGTATATTGTCTTTTGTCTTGTTTTGTCTTTTTGAGACAGGGTCTCTCTATACCAAGGGTGTACTATTATTATCTTGCTTTTTCTCTTAATCACCCCAAGCTTACTCTGCAGAGCCAGTTTCCCCCTCACTCTTCACTTTTACTTTTTTATTTTTGAAAATCTATTTATTGGGCTTTTTGCTTTGGTTTGGTTTTTGGTTTTTTTTTTTGTTGTTGTTGTTGTTTTGTTTTGTTTTTGTGGAACTGGGGATTGAACTCAGGCCCCTGTCCTTGCCAGACAAATTTTTTTTTTTTTTTTTCGGAACCAGGGATTGAACTCAGGCCCTTGTGCTTGCCAGGGAAGCGCTTTTTCTACTGAGCCATCTCCCCAACTGCTTTACTTTTTCTTTTTTTCTTTTTTCTTTTTTGGCAGAACCGGGGATTGAACTCAGGCCCTTGTGTTTGCCAGGGAAGCGCTTATTCCACTGAGCTATCTCCCCGGCCCCCCCTTTACTTTTTCAAATGAAAGTTGTCACAGCTTAAAAAAAATAAGTAAAATAATTTTTTGAAAAATAAAATTATAGGGGTTGGTGAGATGGCTCAGTGGTCTAAAGCA